AACAAAATATTAGGCCACCAATGCCGAAACTCATTATTTTTATCCCTAATAAGACAGACAAATCGTGAAAGTCTTGTGCCCCAACAGCTACTCGCCAGCATCGTATCCTGCGTCGGTTTTATCATTATGAACTTGGCTATAATGGATGAAACACAGGATGCTGCTGTGTATATCGTGCTGCTTAACTTGTTTACTGACTGGCTCGGGGTAGTTGGCTCGTTTGTTACATAATCTTCATCATGATTAAGGCCCATTTATATAAAGCTCTAAAATAAATTACAAAATTATAATAATTCGGTACACTTCCTCTACGAACGCTGACTTCAGCAGTTTTCAACATGTGAGTTCTTCACAACTGAAGCAGCTTTAATGCAAAATATTTTTCAATGAAATGCGTAATTTTAGATTTTGTAAAGAGAATTTAAAAAAATTTGAAAATGTGTTGAAAGTAAATATTTGAGTGTAATATTTTGCTAGTCATTTTTCCAAAGAAAAGTTTCTTTATTGATGAAAATAACAAACGCAAGGCAGCGTTAAAATAATTTCAACGTCATTTCTCTTAAAGCGCATTTTGAGTCCTTGTAAAAATATTAACTTCACTTTTTCTAACACTTACTCCTCACTCAGGATTATTTACCAAAATTACGCTTTCAGAAAATTTTTAAGAGATTAAAACTTTTATATTACGAAAAAGTGTTAAAGTGGATTTACTTAAAGTTCTTTTATTAAATTTATAAATTATGAACGCATTCAACATGAGCATTCCATATTGTGTGAAGAACTAAGTTATGTGTGTCTCCTAGAGTAATTCCCTAAATGGAATATTTATTCTTCTTTAAACTAAATTCAAATAGTTTTAAGAAACATTTATTTAAATGTGATGGGAACAAATCAGTAATTAAGCTGTCTTATCTTAAATATCAGAAGCTCTAATGTAAAAAAAAAACAAGTAATTATGATTTACTGCAGAGAAAATTAATTAAATTAAGATCAACACGAATATGTATAAAGATAAATGAAAAAACTATTATATATTTTTAGACGGATTCGAATAGCAAAAAAGAGACAAGAACACAAATTTAATTAATTTATCGAAATTTGGCTGACCGTACATCGCTGTTTCGAGTATTGCCACCTACTCATCATCAGTGATCTCAGAAAATATTCGAATTTCGAAATTTAGTTTATAGTCCGTATATAATTTGTTTGGACTGCCAGGAAGCCAGGCTTAGAACCCGCCAAATTTGAATTATATTTTATTTACGTCTAAATCTATATAATTTAAAAACCATGACTTAATAAAACTAAATCAAAAATTTTTTGTTTTATTTCAACATACAACTACATATTTAACTTTTTCCTCCTAGGTTCAGTGAACAGTAATTGTAATTGATTACAAATGCGTATGACATTTACATAAAAATTAATTCCTGTATCGTTATTTCTTCTATACAGCCTTTTGCCTTATTTTATTCTACAAAATCTGTTCCACCCATGACAATTCTAGTCACATAATTCACAGAAGCAAAAGCGTTTTTCACACTTATCAGATATTGTCTTAATTACCCGAAATATTCCCTCTAAATCACCTAATGGCATTTGTAAGTGCGGTGTTAAGTTGTGGTAAGCAGTAACATTTTTTTCAGCGTATGGACAGTTCTTACTTTTCTCGAAACCTCAAGCTAAATGAGCTGCTTGCATTAACAAAAGATGTAGTTATGCGAACGGAAGCCACTCCAGCTTTAATTCAATAACAACATCCGAGAATCGAAGGACGAAAAAGGACCCAAGTCGTTTCGTGGTCTACTTCGACTAATCCTTCACTTCAGTGGGGCCACTTGTTGGACAGTGCGCTGTCCCAACCGTCCCACCATATATTTCTCGAATCGTATTTCGATCAATTGTGCTATATTATTCCAGGTTTTAAGTTTGTACTTTCATCTTTCCTATGATTTGTTCTACTTTTCGTTCGAATGACCCAAGAAGTGCTATTTCTCACAGTTGAAGAAAGTGTGCTCAACATTATCCTCATCGATTCTTGAATATTTACCACCAGGTTGGTTTGATTTTCTTATCCTATATAGATCATTTAGATAGTATCAGTGTAAATCCATATAAGTTGATAAAGTTATATTTAACAGGCCTCCTAAAATGAACTATTCATAAGCATGAAATGTTAGCAGTAAAAAAATAGTAAAAACCTTTTCCTATATCTTACTCGCTATTTTTTAAATATTATAAAGTGCAATTCAGTATCTTAATTGTCATTACTCAATGCATTAATACCTCATTCAGTTGTTTAATTTAAATAATTAAAATTGTGATTTTAGTTTTATTGGAAATTATTTTTTCTTTGTTAAAAAAATTTCTAAACTATCAAATGCCACATGCGGATGGTACACACATGACCTATATTATTGCTTGTACTATAACAAAATCATTTGCTAAGTTTATTCCAAGTCCATCACTGTATTAGAAAGTCTATTCGACAGTAAATTATTAACAAACAATAATGAACTTTATTTTTTTCATATTTTTAAATTAAAGGTAGACAGATATATAACAAATTCTTAAATTAATTTCGAATTAGCTATTCTAATATTTTTATATAGCTATTGTATGTCACAAAAGTGTTCGTTTCATATAAAACCCTATTGCGAATAAAGATGCTTATATGTATATAGTATATTCGAAATCAAAGAAAAAAAAATCAAAATCCTTTTTAATGTATAAAACTGGAACTAACTTAACAAACCGATGTTAATTAAATATATTAAAGCAAAGTTAATTTAACGTCTTTTAGGAAATAAGTTTCCAGAACGCAATTTACAATTTAATGAAGTAGTATCAAATAAATGAGGTATTTTTAACCTTAAAAGTCTTAATACCACTTTCAAATTAAATTTTTTTTCTTTTTTCTTAACAAAACTTATATTTAGTTTTTGACCACAAAACTTTTAATTCGGCACGAAAAGTAAAATGAAACTCAACATAAATTAGTAATAATGCTGAATGAGCTATTTTCATGAAATTTACCACAACAATATTAAGACAAGCCACATAATAAGCCCAACTTTGTTTGCGGAAAAGCGAAATTACAACTAATTTGTTGCCACTCGAACGAAACAAAAACTTAAAGTTTCGTACGTCAACAAGGATACAATAAGAAGTACAGCAGTTTCCAGTTGCTCCAACTCGTCTGCCGAAGACAACACCACAACAACTTTGTTAGCAGATTCCTTTCCTTTCCTCATGCCACTCACAGAAAAGGTGTTACTGTGCCAAGAGCAATTTTAAGTAACACCATTCTTTAGGGAATTCAAAATAGCTCACAATAGCAACAATGCGAAAAATTACAACAACACATACCAATCTCATTATTAACACAAAACATCAACGTCTCCAGCTGTGGTGCAACCCACTTACGGGCCCAACTACAATATAATAAGCGTTTCATTACATTTTAAAAGGAAAAAAGAGTCCTCCAAGACTTCTAGTTGCGTTTCTGCGTTGTGGCACAAGGCATCTGCTATTGTTTTTATTGTTGTTGGTGTTAGTTTTACTGCTCCAGTTGACGTTTGCTTGCCTTTTGCCACTCTTGCCACTCTTGGAACACGACAAATTATTTTAATTTTTACTTAAGTTGGAAGCACTCATTTTCTTCGTTGCCAGATACTTTTAAGCCGAAAACACTTGTTGACTTCTGGCTGAGTGCGAATGTGTTAATTGCTCCGGTCGGTTGGGTCGACGTTACATGTCGACTTTGGCTGAGTTGGGTTAAGTTGACTTAAGTTAGCTTAACACCATTCTTTTAGTTATGTTTCCTAGGAATTCTAGTCATTAATATTACATTTCTCTCATCTACACGTGTTACATTTTAGTTTATAATTAATTGTTAATATTATCCTTAGAGAAAAAAATAAGAACGAAGGATATGTTTGGCGATTTTCTAATTTTGCATGACGGCTTGGATTATTAAAATGTTAGTCCAAAATATTTTTATTTAAAAAGACGTAATATTATTTTAAAAAAGACTACTATATGTATATAAATTATATTATATTAATATAAGATTATATCTACCTGAAGCAAGAACTTATATTTGGTAAAGATTAATATTATCAGACATCAACCAACCCATAAAAGTCTGCAACTAAATTAACAAGAAGTTACCAGTGAAAACTTAATAGATAATTTAAAATCGATTAGATTAATTAATAGCTTAGATAGATTAGTTTTAAATAGGTAGACTTAGTAGATTTTAAAAATTTAAAACCATTATTTTTGTATATGACTATATGTATATGTTATAGTAATATAAGGTTACCTATAACAATAGCTTACATTTGGTGAAGATTAAATATTATTTAATATTATTTTGGCTGACATTAACTTACAGCCAAAAAAATCTGCAATTAAATTAACAAGACGTTACCAGTGAAAATTTAATAGACAGTTTAAAATAGAGGAAATTAAATAATAGATTTGATAGATTAGTTAAAAATAGGTAGACTTAGACCAGATTAAGTAATAGATTATATAGATTAGTTTAAAATAGGTAGACTTAGTGGATATATATATTAGTAGATATATATATAGATATATAGAAGTATATATAT